TAAGTATAGAGCAACAACAAGTGCAACAACAGACCAGACAACATGAAGTGAGTCCACACAACCTGCAGGTCCAGGGTTAAAAATGACTCTTACAGCAGCCAGATGATTAAACAGTTTAAAGACGTCTTTAAGAGTTTTGTAAAAATCAGACTTTCTTATTTTGTGGATTTAAGGCTAAAAGTTGTGATGTTTGTCTGAACCACCCCCATTAAAAATGTCCAGATAAGATTTGAAGCATGAAAGAGGGCTAGGCTAGCAGCAGTAAAGCAGTTTAAACTTTGTAATGTAATCAGCATGTTAGCTTCAGCTCACGTGCACTCGTCTTTCACATGAAAGTATAAATAAACACAACGAGCTTCTAATTTTAAGACATTTAAACTTGAATAAAATCATAAGTTTGTTACCTTTGAGGCGTCTGAACTTCAACAAAACTGCAGATGAAGATCCGGGCCAGCTCCAGCTCCAGGTCCGGCTCCGGCCGGGATCAAGTTCAACAAGAACAAGACTGTTTCCGGCCCCTTTCACAATAAAAGTATCAGGCTGCTCTGTGTGTAAATAACAGGTTAATAAAATATTATATAGAATAAATTTACTTTAAACTTACTCTCTACTAAAAGGAGACTATAAAAACATGTTGTGGTGTTAAATCTTAATGTGTGCTTGCCTTGATTTGGGCTTTTGTTTTAAAAAAGATTGACCGGAACTAGTTTTATCATTTACGAAAACTTCAAACATCCGGCCATTGTTGATGACGTCATGTTCGGTGCATTCAGAGTCATACTTTAGTGTTTATCTATATTATTTATTTAAGTGTAAGTATCAACTTTAGTTAACTGTGCGACTAAATAAAAAGATTTGAGAGGATAAAAGAGAACTGAAGAAGTAAACAGAATGAAGATGTTATTTAAAAAATGTAAATGTTGCAAACCTAGAAATGTTAAGATATAGAAAACACCATTTTTTTTTACTTTTTTACATAAAGCTCTAGTCTACAATAATATTACACAAATGTATGTGTTTCAGTTGGTTTAATTTCTAGACATAATACGGATAAAACTTTACATCGTGCGTGTAAAACACAACTTTAACAAACGCATCGTTTCTGTGACGTCACGTTAAAGCGCCGGAAGTGCTTCAGCGTTCAATGAGCTCCATCAGCACATCTGAGCTGCAGTCAGAGGAAAATACCTGTGTAACACACCTGAATTTAACCTGTGATTATTTAGACAAACACACAAATGTACACAACAACTGTAGGACGTAAAAAGAGAAGAAAGTCAGTTTTTTAGTCGTGTTTTCTGGCTGTTAGCCTGTTTTTACTGTCGTCACTTCCTGCTTTTAAATATCGCGGCTACAGAAGGACAGATGGAGATACAAGGTAGTTCAACTTTATTTTGTTGTTGTTTTTGTTAAAGTTGTGTGTGTGTTTTTCTAACTGTGTGTATACTTGACTGCTCCTACATTAAACACATTGGATTAAAAAAGGCAACATTTAAGCCATCAGCTGTTTGCTTTTCACTGAAAAAGAGCAAAACTAAAAGAATATTTACTGTTTTAACTGATATCATTTGRCCTAATGTTATTTCCTCCACATGCTGATTGTACATAATTAAAATAATTAGAATTAAGTTAATTATTTAATTACTTTGGTAAAGTTTACTGATGATAATCTGTAATCAGCAGACATTTAACTCAGGATCCTGTATGTTTTGACTCATCAAATAATTTGGTGTAATTCACCTGAATTCACTAAGAAGTTTTATTAACAATAAAAATCAGACTGACAGGATGATGTTAACYGGTAAGAAGAAAACTGATGTAAGTTTATGTGTCTTGTCTGTTATTTTCTGCTCTATAACAAACCCAATAAAACACACCTGAGCACAGAAAAACTAATGTTCTGTAAAACACTTGTGAAACTGTCTGGATTATAACTGCATCAGGACTCATGTCAGTCCTAAAAACAGAC